GCATGAAATACAGTGGTACCTCAGGTCACGAACGCTTCTGTTCACGACCAATTCGGGTCACGAACAGCACCGTTTGCAAAATTTTGCTTCCGTTCGCAAACGCCGGATTGGGTGACGAACAGGATCCGCGGCCATTTTCCCTGCCATGACATGTGGTCGTGGCTGACTCTCCCTCCAAGCAATAACCACCTCCCCACCTGCCTTCCTGTCCTCCACCCCAGAAGTCACCTCGAGCAAGGTTAGCGTTCTCTCTCTTCGTACTGTACTTTGTGTCATATTTTTGTGGTTTAAAAAAAAAAATATGGTTCAGAACAGATTAACCGTAATTACATTGAACCTTATGGGAAAATTTGATTCGGGTCACGACCCATTTGGGTCGCGACCAGAGTCACGGAACAAATTAAGTTCGTGAACCGAGGTACCACTGTATATATTTATTTTCTAGTAACTAAATGCTAGCTACCCATGAAAACTTGATGGTTATTTAATAAATATCTGGGTACTTTATTTTAAAACATTCATCTTTCTCAGTAGATCAACCTGAATTAATTTTAATGTATCAATATACAAATTAATAACTTAATCTGTAATGGAATTTTCTAAACTGAAGGGGCATCATTATGTGACTCCTGGCTGAAAGAGTGAACTAAAAATAAAAAAAAAAACCAGTTCATTTAAACCATTCATTCTACCCACTTATACATCTCTGGAACCTTTCACTTCATTCACCTTTTCTCTAATGTAAGAGAGAAAAATATGTGGTCTTTCAGGTGACCTTGAGCTACAATACCCAGTAATCCCAGGCCTGAAGGATGTTGGGAATTATAATTCACCAATTTCTTTGGACCACAGATGCCTCATCCCTAATGTAATAACATAGACCACTGGCTTCCTGAGGATTTCCATACTACAATTCTGTAAATCAGTGGTGGTAGACTGAGATGGCTAAAATGGTTTAAACTGTCTAGCTGCACAAGATTCCTTGTGTAGAGACTGATTAATGGCTGTTCCTGAGGATAGCCATGGATTCACCTGGAAGGGACTTACCTGCCCATCAATCATTCACTTTATTTGCTTTACTATAATAACTTCTTTACACTGGACCATCAAAGCCAATCCCTCTTCCCTAGTATGTTTGCTAAAATTGTAGTAGTGGCAAAGAAGAACTTTTGGTTATTTAGTTGTGTGTATGTTTCCAAGAATCATTTGTAAACTACTACTCAATTCTATACTGGTAAGAATATATACAGGAATAAACTACCATTGCAAAATATATCTTTGTGAAGTCTTGAGAGAACATGCAGAAATATTGTACAACTATAGATGAACATATTGTGGTTCAAAGTTCACTATACCTCTTCCATGTTTTTCTGTCCTTGCAAAACATCCTCATTTCTACTGTGTCCATATCCCAAGCTCATAACCTCTTTCTTCTTCAGTACCTCATCATCTCTATCCAAACCCAAGTCTATTGGTCTTTCTCTTCTTTTCCATTCATTCATCCTTCCTTCATGTATCTGTTTTGTAATTCGATACTCATTCTCTGTATATGACCAAGCCTCTTCAACATACTTCATGTTGACCATTTGTTTTTGTTTGCAATCCATTCATTCAGCACCTTTTCATTCTTGACCTATCTCTTTTTATTTTATCACACACACCTCTAAGTACTCCCAGGGGCATCCGGGTGGGGGGGACAAAAAGGTCAAGATAGCAGCCACAATTGCATAACTGAAGTCCACCCCTTCTGAGGGACTTCAATCAAAAAGTTGTGGCTATCATCTTGATTTTTTTGACATCTCCATGGACTCCCCTGAGTACCCCATTCTTTCTGCATTCAACATGTTTTTATTTTAATAGTCATTTATTCCTTGCCACATACTGTATGCTACCAGTGTTTGCAAACATTTATCTTTTTTGCAATTTTTGGCAAGCATTCTATCAAGGTACAAAAATTCATCTACTGTATTTGCTCTAATTTTCACCACTGATATCTAATTTGCATCGCTTACTCCGTTTTCCATGTCAAACACCACTATTTTGGTCTTCAGTGCATTTATCTTCAGAGCCATATTCCTTACTGCATGATTTATCATGAGTATGTCCATACACTGCAGGAGATAGGATATTCACAGCAATATATTGGCTTGAAGATAGCCTCTAGGTAAGAGATCCTAGTTTGTATAAAATAGTATGAGCATGTCTGGGATAACACTTAGGTCTAGTTGCACTCGTGGGACACTGGCCAAAATGTCCATAACTGACAGGTACTATCTTGTAAAGGGTGTAAGAGTAACCTTAAGGGACAGGAGGAAGAGCTGCAACCAAGATAATGGTAAGATAAAAGAACTGTAACCTGAGAAAATTTCTCAGACTTGACCCTCTCTACTTCTCTTGAAGATAAAGGGAGGGAGGGGGGACGCACATTCAGATTGCAAGATTCTATTACTGTAACCTTATAATAAAAGTAGTGTTAAATGGAATTTTAGGCTTCATTATTAGCATTTTAAAAAGGTGATCTTAATGTTTTTTAACACGACAATCTAGGCCTCTTTGCTAACTTTACGAAAGCATGTTTTTCCTCTGGGCCAAGGCCATTTCTTTTGGTATATCTGAGAACTTGCCTTTTCAGCTACTAAACAATAGAGAACGTATTCTGAGAGTCTTTGAATACACTTGCAAGTTTTAAAAGATACAAACGCGGCTGGGAAAGGGAGTGACATAACCCATACATTTGCCACTTGTGGAATGTTAACTGGAATCAATGTTTTCTATTGTTCAATTCTCACATGTAATCAGTGTATTTTATTGTTTGATTACTTGCTTTCTGATGTATCACATATACTGTATGTATGTATCATTTGTTTCTGTACCCTATATTCTGTACCCCCCCCCTTAATAAACACTTTTTGCTTTGCCTGAATTACTGGGTAGTTCGTATTTTCAGGTAGGCTAAGGAGCCACTTTTGCAAAGGTAAAATTGTTTTCTCTCCCAAATCCAGGGAATAGGTCTTCAGCTCCACACCACTTGGGATGCCTGAATTTTAAAGGCAACAGTATTAGCATTCATAACTTTGGTTTCCTAGTCTGCTCTACCTTACCATTAGCAAGGAATGCTGCATGTATTATGGGTTCAACCAAGGTTGATAACGAAGTGTATACTTTCCTTCTGTTACTAAAAAATATCCATCCCTGAATGCTGCTGACATTTTCAACTACCTGATAAGAATTTCTCATGTATTCATTTAATCTATGAAATATACTCCAAATTGATTCTGGACTTGAAACATCTGGCCAATTTTTTTTTTTTAAGAACATTTTTTGGTGCCATTTTGGTTCAAGGAAATAAAACTTTATGGAAAAATGTCTATATTAAGTTTTGAAATAATACATTATGCATAATATCATACAGTGCTATGGTACACTTCAAGAAGGAAAAATTAGGAAAACCTATAGGGAAACATGCATAAATTTTAACTACAAGGAAAAATAATGTGAATGTCCATGTATTGAATATAAATGCAAGTTGTGAGATATAGGTTCTGAAATAAGATTGCATTTTTATGATATGCTATTCTGCCTAATTATAAAATAAGACACTATAGGAAGATTAAAAGCATTGGAACCATGCTGGAGATATATACAGTAGATTTCTCACCTGATTAATATTTAGAGTCTTGAACTTGGGGCTCTTTGGGTCTTTTGGGCTATGATTTGGATGTTGGCTCTGCCCACAGTTTGGGGACCAAACCAAGTTCAACAGCCTGCATAGTGCAGTGACTCAGTGAATGTTAGGGTGACTCAGCCTGACCTGAAACTGACTGATTCTGAACTAATTGGGTTTTTTCGGCCTGGCTCCGTCTCCTCTGACAGGCTGTTGTGAAGAGAGATGGAAGAACTGGGTGTGCAGTCCTGAACTATCAGAATTGGCAGGATATGAGTGATGCACAGATGTAATACTAACACCATTCAGACAAGCCACAGATAAAGTTAAAGTTCCAATGGAGGTGTATGGCACTTTTATTTCCCAAGTTTCAATAAAAAGCCAATAAGAAGACTTGAGATGAGACTTCTGATGAATAGCAGATGTATTTTGATCAACACATTAACAAGAGATGTTGATGGAACCACACCTCACAAAACAAACATCAGAGGCTTTATAGACATTTAAATCTGTAATCAGATAGTACATCTCCTCATACCCATACAAGGGATTTTTGGGACAGTCTGAGCAAGTGAAACGTGGTTCTTAG